CCCACAACCCTAACCCTACCCCTAATCATAACCCTAACCTTAACCCTACCCCAAACCCTAACCCTACCTCTAACCGTAACCCAAACCCTAATGTCTAACTGCCATGTTGACCCTGTTTTTGATTCGTGACTTTTCCGCTCCGTATTTACACTGCAACCAAGTGAGTGAACTCCCACTAAGCGACCGTCGGCTTTCGAGCTAGCGATCGTTATTTAAAGGAGAGCCTTGTAATGTATTGATGGATGTACAGAAGAATAGGAGGTCGGTTTTGTTCGTGAAACAAAAAGTGAGTTAAGAGTTTGTGGAGAGATCGTCAATGTGAAAAAAATGTGTGTGTAGGGGAGGGGAAGGGGAGGGGAGAGGGGCTACATTACTAGACATAACATTGTTTTAAAAACAGTAGTAATGAAGGGAACGGTCGAAGGCAAGAGAGCAAGAAGGCGACAATGTTACAAGTGGGAGAAAACCATCAAGAGGTGGACGAACAGCTGTTTGAACGAGTGTGCAACAAAGACAAGAGACAGAGCATGTTGGAGATCTATTGCAGCCAACCTTAACTCTGGAGACGGCACCTGATTGATTGATATTTATAAAAAGGACCATAGTCATTACTTTATGTTATTTTTTTTTTTTAAAGAAAATGATGTATTATAGTAATAGTAATTTTTTTTTTCTTCTGAAAAACGAAAGGGCTTAATATGCACTCCTCCGAATATAGTCCCAAATTATCGAGGTTAAAAACAAACCCTAACAGGTCCTCACTAGGTCATCTAATAGAAGTATTACAAACTAGGCGTAAGTTACATCAGTAACCCTTCATTTGTTTGGGTGTTAGAGCTAGGGTTAGGGCTAACGCTAACATCGCCACAAGAATCTGTTACAACATCCAACCGTGAAACTAATGACATCAGATGTTTGCAACAGGAACAGTCTACTTTTTCATATTATTCTGCGTGTAGCAAGCCATTGCAGCTACTGTAGAATTTGGCAGAAATAAATCCTAATTTTACATATCATTGAGGCCCTGTTAGGGTATGTTTTTAACCTCGCTAATTTAGGACAGTTATTCGTAGGAGTGCCGCTTAATATATTATTATTTAATAATCCATTTATTTAAATGGTGACCCCGTAGAATAGAGGGAATTATAGAATCACTAATGTAGAGCTTTGGGAGTGAACTCAACAAGATCCAGTAGACCAAGAGGTGAAGAAAAGATACTAGTGTTGATAGAACACAAATTGGAAAAACATGAGAACAAAACAACTAAAATGTCCTTGCACTGGAACCCACAGGGGCATAGAAATAAAGGCAGACCAAAACACACACAGAGAATGAAGTTAAAGAGATGGGTAGGACATGGGCTGAGCTGCAAGCAATAGCAAAGGATAGAACGACATGGTGTGAGTTGATTAAGGGCCTTTACTCCAGTGGGGGATAGAAAGAAGAAGGTGAAGAAAAGTCTATGTATAGTATTAGATATAATGTTCATTAGTTGATGAAAATAGTTGATAAGTGATGAATTAAAATTATTATCTATCCACATAAAGTTAATATAAGAATCTATGTGAATTTGTATGATGATCATTAATTAATTCTTTTCTGATATTTCAGTTAGTTGTAATAGTAATAGTGCCTGGACAGTAGTTGGCATTGTTCCCTGCCTGTGTCAAAATAGTCTAATTCATTCCTTGAAGTGGATACATTTAAAGAATTAATAATTTATACACACACAAATAGTAAATTATCAGTTAGAGAAAAAACAGTCATGTGGCAGTTGATAAACCGTTATTAATGACATGTTATGAGAAATATGGAGTCACTAACAACCATCCAGACAAAGCCAGCAGTGGACGTGGAAGAAGTCACAGTCAGTGAGGACAAGTCTGTAGACATAACAAAGACAAAGTAAGCACAGAATGAGATAATTTTTGTCTACAGTCTCATGTGTGGTGTGTTTATGTGTGGTGTGATCATGTGTGGTGTGTTCATGTGTGGTGTGTTTATGTGTGTAATTCTATTTACATAATTCTTGGTATTAAATAATAAGATTTTGAGATGGATTGAACTTGAACTGACTAGTAGTACATACTTAAATTGTTATTATTGAGTTGTAGCGAAGGCAGCCTCTTACAAAATTAAGTATGTTCTGTGCAATCTCTCTTTGTCATTTGAGATGAAAAAGAGAATTCTTAAGAGCTATATAAATCCAGTCCTTATATACGGAAGTGAATCATAGACAGTTTAATGAACAATTATTTGGAAGCTGCGGAGATGTGGTTTTATAGATGGATGCTGAGAATATCCTGGACAAAAAAAAAGAGAGTCATGATGATGATGTCTTGAAAGGAACTGACTCATGAAGAGAACTGATGGCCTTCGTCATAAAGAGACAGTCTACATTTTTGGTTCTGTCATGAGAAGGAGAAAACTGGAGTACATCGTGACAGTAGGAAAGTTGGAAGGGAAGAGAGACAGAGACAGAAGATGCTGGACAGTTGGACATCATGGCTTGAATGATCATCTGTGTCAGAGTTGATTGAAAGTACACATTAGAAGGTTGTGGATAGACATGACTACCAACACCACACAGCATAGACTATAAGATGACTCTAGCATTTACATGCTTTGGCATTACCATATTTGAATAAAGAAGACACAGACAACAGATTGTACAATTGATTGCCTGGCATATTTTGCTGTATCTTGTCAGGTGCATACTACAGTAATAATTACATAGGTTATTTAATAGGTTAGTTGCGTATCCTTTACAGGACGTTGCAGAACCAACCCCAGCAGCCCCTGGCTGTTGTGTGGTTTCTCTAGGCAAATTTACATCCAGTAGTTTGCCATTGCTTTCTGGACGGTCGGCCCCCTGATACCACTGTCGAAACCAACACAAGGCTTATGGCCCGCAGCTGGAATCGAACCCGGTACCCCGGCATTACAAAGCATTCACATCGACCTAGCCACAGAGCTGACAATATTTACATAAATGAAGCAAATAAGTGAATCCTTTATAACTGAAGTATAATCTATTGTTTGTGTCTTCTTTATTCAAATGTACAGGGAAACATTGCTTTCATAAACATATTTGGATCTTTATTAGTGTCATTGAGCTCATACACTGTGTTAATATGCTCTGGAACCTAGCATTTATGAAATCGTCTGAGTGTACAATGAAAGTGATCTATTCCCAAAGTAAACCACTTTCAAAGATATGTATTCTTTACTCTTCAAAGATTTCTTCTTCTTTGTGTTTGGGTTCGCATGCTTAGGTCAGATTGTCAGGTGGGCCATGTCACTGAATTTGCATGTCAGTTGCAGGTTCCTCGTGTTTCCCATTAGCTTGTTCTGCACACTTTGCTCTTGAGGTCAGGTTTCTGTTCTTAGTTGTAAGTATAGTGGGCAGGTCTGCAGAATGTATTTAGATGTTAGTGGTCTTGTCAGACAGGCACACAGTGGGGATTGCACAGTCTTTATTTTATGCATGTGGTGGTCGAACCTGCAGTGTAATGTTTTATGATTTCAGTGTTACAGGTCTTAACTTTCTTCCCCCCCCCCTCCCCCGATATAGATTATCTTGCAAACGAACCGACTACTTGGGCTGGGATGAATACTTTATGGCTGTAGCATTTCTCAGCGCACAACGAAGCAAGGATCCAAGGACACAGGTGACTACAGTATAGTCTTATTCTTCTACTCTTAATCCCCAATATGCTTTAGACCCTCAGCCAGATTGTCCTAACTTTTGTCTGTGTCTGCAGCTCACCGCATGTCCTCCCTCATCTTATTCAACCTGTTTCTAACTCTCTTCTCTGGGTGTTTTTGGTCTGCGTTTGTGGCTTAGAGGTCAGGAATTTGTTTCACAGTTTCATGTTCCGCGAAGTATCAGGGTTTAATTCTCATGGCATATGGTTATTCTAAAAAACAATATACCCTTCTCATTGCATTTGGACAACTAAGATCAAACTAGCAGTCCAAACCAACAACCAAATGACTATAAATAACCAAACACCTGACAATGTAGAATAGTTCCCATATCTTGTGGTGTCCCTGCTGGGAGGGATAGAGAAAGACATACAGTCACTCCTGAACAAAGCTAGAGCTGCTTTTGGAAGGATGAGGAAAATCTGGAAATCCAACAGTTACTGCAGAGGAACAAAACTCCGACTCTACAAGAGCATCGTTTTGCCAGTTCTTCTTTATGGAGCAGAATGCTGGAGAATGACCAAAAGGGATGCACACAAGCTATCCACCTCTCCACCACACATGTCTACGTAGAATTATCAAAATTTTTTGGCCAGATACAATCTCAAACACTAATCTACTTCAAGTCACAAACCAAGAAACTCTAGTCAGTATGATAACAAAGAGAAGATGGAAATGGCTTGGCCACATTATGAAAATGAATCCTGATATATCTGCCAAAACAGCTGTCACTTAGACACCAAAGGAAAAGAGAAAGAAGGGGCGCCCAAAAACAACATGGAGATGAATGATGGAAAGTGAACAGGGTACTGCATGCCTAACATGGAAAACTGCACTGAGGATTGCACAGGACAGGAGAGCATTGAAAGTCCTCTCTGAAGCCTCATGTGCCACTAGACATGATGAGAAAATTGATGATGGCATTTGGACAGTGGTACAAGAGTAGCACAGTGGAAAAGATTTGAGCCTCACCACGCAGCATTCCCTGAGACAGCCCTGTCACTTAGACAGAATTGAAGTGAAACTAGAGGTTGACCACCCAGGCGATGGATAGATGGAATATCCTAGGTTATAAATACCAGCATCTGTATAGCACATAGCAAGACTCGTTCCCGATATCTGTTCAGAACCTGTCAGTGAAAGGCAGAATAGGACAAGAGAAGAAGAAGAAGAAAAAACTATGTTGTCTTAGAATGAATACATTCATTATTAGTATTTTGACGTTTATTTCTAGGTTGGTGCTTGTATAGTTAATGAGGAGAAGAAAATAGTTGGCATTGGCTACAATGGAATGCCCATCGGATGCAGCGATGACCTCATGCCCTGGAACCAGCACAACAAGAGTGGAAGCAAGGAGGATTGGCTAGATAGCAAGAAGCCATATGGTAATACATTTACTTTTCTTTATTTTCTTCTTCTTCTTCATTCACCCTTGAAAGAGTGGCTGGCACACTGTGTTTTACTTTTGTTAATGTTTTTCCATGAAACATGACTTTGATTTTTACACAGTTTTTACCAATTTAAAAAAAAAATAATGTGGACATAAACAATATATTCTATAGTTTATTGCCTGGCATCAGGTGCATTCATGATCATCATCATCTTTGTCCTGTTGTGCCATCACCGACACATAAGACTTGCAGTCCATTCCTCCATTCCTTTCTGTTCTGTGCAGATAAATTCAATATCATGAATTGGATCTAGTCCAGCATCTTATTACAGTTAAATCAACAATTCATTGGGAAATTGTGCTTTAGCACATTTCTCAGCCATAATTGTATGATTACCATGGAAATTACCACAATAATTTCACAATTATGACATGTTCATTTTGATTGTTAAAGCTTAAGCTAGTTTCAGTTCACACCTGTTCAGTGCATGGTGAATAACCAAAGGTGGCTATATCCAGAGTTAAGCAAATGATGTCCTATCTAAGAGTTTAGTTCTCTCCTCTTTGTTGATTTTGAATCAGCATCTCTACTTAGTTGTATGTGGAGTCATTTAGGAATATTATGTGTTTTTTGTTCTGCAGCTTGGAAACAGCTTTATTTAGACAAATCAAAGAAGAACGGTACTTGCAGCACTGTGTCCTTTATTTTGTAAAATCCCCAAATTGGTATGGGGCCCCATTGGGGTGGGGGGGGGGGGGGGGGGGATAACTCTGTCTTCCTTAAAAGCATATCATAAAAGACAATATTTAGGGATTTTCCCTCTGAAGTTGGAGTGCATCTGAATGAGAGGCAATGAACCAACAGTCTGCATACAAGTAAGCCAGATCTGTAAAACGAATGTGCATGTAAAATTCAAGCTCTGGAATAAGACTAAACTCCAAAAGTGGACAAACAACCAGAACTTTTCACTAGAGTTTACAGCTGATGAACGCGTGGAAGAAGTATACAGGGTCTTTCAATTTATGCAGAGTTCTGTTCTCAGTTAGCAGGTCATAAGTCGAACTGTTCGTAAGTCACATTTATATTTTCAAACACCTTTTTCATGCAAACGAGTTATTAAAATTGTACTTGAAACACAAAAATTAAATCTGTATAGGTGTAAGTATTGTACATAATGTGAAAAGATATTTACTGTATTTTACGTTCTGTAAACAAAAATACAACCCAAAATTTATATTTATTTTAAATTAATTTGTTCTGGGGGGTCATGAATGTGGATGGTCTAAAGTCGCATAGATCGAGGATAAGGTATAGTTACATATGTAGTATATTCATATCATACATCGTACACAGCTTTATCATCCTGACAAACACAAAAGTACTAAAGTAACTGATATAAAGAACTGTTGTTTTTGTCTGTTTTCAGTCTGCCATGCTGAACTCAATGCAGTCCTGAATAAAAACCTGGCCAACATTAAAGGCTGCGTCATTTATGTGGCACTCTTCCCCTGCAACACGTGTGCCCAGATCATCATCCAGTCACGAATCTCGGAGGTTATTTATTATTCTGACAAGTACCATGACCGGGAAGAATTTGTGGCATCTCGCAGAATGTTTGATATGGCTAAAGTGAAATACAGGTTTGTATTTTCTTCTGTTTAACTTTGAGATGCTGAGGTGCTGGTTTAGATTATGGTATTCCTGTGTACATTCTGGATCCCATTTTTGGGAGAAAAGATTGGACCGACTACCTGTAACATAAACAACAACAACAAATTTAGTTATGTTAATAATTATCTACCAATTGCATGCAGCTAAGATCAAATTAGGGGTTTTACTGAAACCTGATGAGTTGGGCCACGGCCTTCTCTATTTATAGGCCTAACAGGTCAACGGAGATTCCCGTTCTTGTGTAAGAATTGAGTCCCTCTGAGTCCACAGTTTTTATCGAGGAGATGTGTACACAAATTAAACTACAGTTTCATTAATTTTCGACATATTTTATAGAACTATAGTCGTTTTAAAGATAAATAATTTTGCCAATTAAATATAACAATAAAGGCTCTTATAGACAAACAAAAATGCTTTTGCTAGAGTCAACATGAACATTAACATCAATAACGTTTAGATATAAACTAAAAGGTGTTCCAGCAAAAGTAAAGAAATATCAATGCTAACTCTTTGATTCTGAGAGGGTATTGTTGCATTAGAGAAGCAGGGGGGGGGGGGTGGTGGTGGTGGTGGGGGGGGGGGGCTATGAAACATACACATGTCATACATACCATAAATATAAATGATTATGGTTATTATTATTATTAGTAGACTACTAAAACATATAATTATACTGTTATTTAATAATTAGTAAACAAGCACAATCAGTATGAAATTGATATGTGCAATACTTTTTTCACCCAGAGTAGTTTTCTTAACAGTACTTATAGCAATATTAAATATGTATCCTGAAGGTACAAACAGCCCAAACAAATGTGTCCAGTTTCATCTTGTTGGATGAAATCAATTCCTTATCACTGCGAATTTTTTGGTAAAAAATATGCATAAGAAGTGGATGAACAACCAGAAGTTTCCGCAAGAGTTTACAGCCAGTGTTCGCGAAGCAAAGCAAAAGCCAGTTTACAAAAATTAACACAGACTGTACAACTGCAAATATGCATAAGAAGTGGATGAATAACCAGAAGTTTCTGCAAGAGTTTACAGCCAGTGTTCGCGAAGCAAAGCAAAAGCCAGTTTACAAAAATTAACACAGACCGTACAACTGCAAATATGCATAAGAAGTCGATGAACAACCAGAAGTTTCCGCAAGAGTTTACAGCCAGTGTTCGCGAAGCAAAGCAAAAGCCAGTTTACAAAAATTAACACAGACCGAACAACTGCAAATATGCATAAGAAGTGGATGAACAACCAGAAGTTTCCGCAAGAGTTTACAGACAGTGTTCGCGAAGCAAAGCAAAAGCCAGTTTACAAAAATTAACACAGACCGTACAACTGCAAATATGCATAAGAAGTGGATGAACAACCAGAAGTTTCCGCAAGAGTTTACAGACAGTGTTCGCGAAGCAAAGCAAAAGCCAGTTTACAAAAAATAACACAGACCGTACAACTGCAAATATGCATAAGAAGTGGATGAACAACCAGAAGTTTCCACAAGAGTTTACAGACAGTGTTCGCGAAGCAAAGCAAAAGCCAGTTTACAAAAAATAACACAGACTGTACAACTGCAAATATGCATAAGAAGTGGATGAACAACCAGAAGTTTCCGCAAGAGTTTACAGCCAGTATTCGCGAAGCAAAGCAAAAGCCAGTTTACAAAATTTAACACAGACCGTACAACTGCAAATATGCAAAAGAAGTGGATGAACTACTAGAAGTTTCTGCAAGAGTTTACAGCCAGTGTTCGCGAAGCATAAGTCAAATGGTTAAGGATTAATATTATTAGTGTACTGCTACAACATATAATTATACTGTTAGTCAACAATTAGTAAAGAGGCAAAGAGTGACTTGCTGTGAGAGGTTAGTTAGTAAATTAAATATTATTTTCATCCACTTACCTAGAGCTCCGAAATATCTTGACACAATTTATACAGTGTGGTTGCACCATTTATGCACAGTCAATATGAAAGCAATAGTTTTCTTCCAACACAAGATAGTTTGCACCTGACAACTGTCGATATTCTCCTGATATGGCTTCTAAATTACCTGTTTGTATTTTCCTTAAAAGTAAGATTTCTACATTTAAAGTAGAAAAGTAATAAACAGCCAGTTCCCCAAACTCCCAAATCGCTGACTAGAAACTGACACACACATCACAACACAACTGTCTCCCGTGAATTAAAATTAAAATTGCTGTAATCTAACAACAAAGTATGAAAATCTTGTATATCCACTTTACAATATCCGCTTGTCGATTTGTAATACGAATCAGAACACAGAAGTTTGTAAGCATATTATAATGTCACACAATGCAACATTGAAACGCTTCAAGTAACCTATTTTCGAGGGGACTCAGCCAAAATGTATCGTGATTCAGTTGTTAGGCATTATTAGAGAAGGCAGTGGTTGGGCTAAAAGACACAGATATCATAGTTTAGCTGTAGACCACAGCACACAGTGGCAGCTACCCTCATCTAGAGAAATGAAAACAAGCCACCAACTGTCCTGAGTTCAAATAGTACATAAGTGAACAATTCAGTTCACTGGGTTCCCTGTTGATTCTGGGGCTCCACTCTGGGAAAAACAAGAATAGACCCACTGCCAGCCTAACAAGAATGTTGTCAGATTAAACTAATTAGGGGTTTCCTGCAATGTCAGAGTGCATCTGCCTGAGACAAGTAACTAATAGGCTGCATTCAAATAAGCCAGATCTGCAAAAGGGTATTGCACAAGGCACTCAGGTTTCAAAACACGACGGAAGTCCAGAAGTGGATGAGCGATCATAACTTTCTGCCGGAGTTTACAGACGGTAAATGCGAAGAAGGTGAAGTCTGTTCTGGCATGGTAGGACGGCGTACTGGAGGTCTTTATCTGTCTTCCCAAGTTTGTCTTGGTAGGCCGCTTCTGTGGTCCATATTTTCTCTCTCTGGCAAAGTCTGGGCAATCTTGGAAGATGTGTTCTCGCGTTTGCTGTGATGCTGCACATCTGCAAGTGGCAAAGTCAGTTCAACGCCTACGGTAAAGGTGTGCTGCAAATTTAGTGTCCAAAATTTATAGTCTGCACTTTTTTGTCAAGTATATCGATACATTTTGTGCTGTCACCTAAAGTTATCATTTTCTTGTCTTCATTGAATAGAAATATTTCCCATGTGGGTTCCAGTGCTCTTTTTTGGGAAAACAAAAAAAAAGAAATAGAACCATTGCTGCCCTAACTGTGATTATGATTATCACCTTTCTGTCTTTCCAGACTTCTTCTTCTTCTTCACTTTTACTGCTGTGGGTGTCGAGGGTGATATAAGGTTCTGTTTCTAGCTCTTCTGGCTGCCTCGACCATGGGCACATCGTGCTGTTGTAGAGTTTCTCTGATGTTATCCTTTCATCTTTCCAGACAATAGTGTTATATTGCGCTATGAGGAGGAATGTGACCCACAGCCCATGTCAATGGCGAGTGTGACTATCAAGACCCGCCTGAGTTGAGAAAAATCTTCCCCAATTAAAGCGTGGGATTTTAGGACCGTTGTTGTCAACATAGGTGTTTAGTGTGTTTCTTCTCAGACGCTCAGCTCTCATCCTTTCTGCAACCATTTCTTCCTTTATTCTCATTCCCTTCCTGATGTGCCCCCTCCACACAGCACGGTCCATAGCATTTTGTTCAGTCCACCTCAATACCTGTATCATTCATGTCCCACAAGCATGTCACAAAAGGTGACTAATTAGGGGTGTTTCCTTATAATTCAGAGTGCATCTGCCTGAGAGGTAAGGAACCAACAGTCTGCTTGCAAATTTGCCATATCTGTAAAATGAATGTGCATTGAAATTCTGAAACAAGCCTGAAGTCCAGAAGGGAATGAACAACCACACATTTTCCAGCAGCAGAGTTTACAGTTGGTGAATGTGAAGAAGAAGAAGAGAAGAAGAAGAATATAACAAATTATATGATGAACAAGGAACATCTGGCCAAGTGGTTAAATGCTTGTCTGTCATTCTGGAAACACAGGTTTACATCCTCAGTATGGTGATATTTTTTTCTGTCGGGAACAAAAATTAATTCCTATCCTCCACAATTCGTGGCAGTTAAACCATTTGGTGACCCTAAGTCCCCAGACTAAAAATAAACACGCTGACCTACATTCAGAACTATCTTAACAGCATTGAGTTGAGTCGAAATTGACATCACAGCACTCGGGGCATTTCCATATGTGCTCCGTCCTCTTCTTCAGCAGTCAGCGTAGAATCCCAGTACTGATGGTACCGGTCACAATCTGGTTAAATGTTCGTCTTGCCTCTGAGTGTAGTGAGCCGGCCAGGCCCTCTGGTTACACCTATCTTAACAGCATTATGGATCCCTAGGTAAACCAGCATGCTGAGGCCCCTATGACAGTCACTCATAGGACATACACATGTCACTGGACATACAGATTAGCATGGGGCTTCCAGACAGATGCCCCCCATCGTTGTGCCCCCCCCCCCCACCCCCGGAGCAAGTGCCCAGCAGGCCTTGCATTATTTTTATTTATTCAGTGAATTATATTTGATTATTGTGTTTTTTTAGGCAGTTTCGACCACAAAAAAAAATCACGATTGACTTTGAATTGATTGAGAAAACACCTGGAGACGTCCCGCCTCCTCTAGACAAAAGCCACGGCACAGCTGATGTAAATGAGAACAGACACAACGGCAGTGATGGTAACAAGATAACATCCAACACAAGTCACAGTGATGAACTGTTGCAGTCTGCAGACAGTGATCTTCCTCAACCTGGAGGCTTTCATGCTGAAGCTTCAGGAGATTCAGCAGCAGAAACTGAAGCCCATAAGGCCACCTGTGTTTAATCATTTGTGGGATGTTTTCTATGCAATCATATCAGCAGTCTTTATTGTATTTCTGGCTCTTGTATTGTCAAACAGTAGTGAGCATTAACTATTTTTCTTCTTCTTTTTATAGTTCAAGCCCTCTGGTGTTGGTAGTTATGTTTGTCCACAACCTTCTGTCTCGTAACTTTCTGTCAGTTCTGACACAGATTATCTCCTATGCCAGTGTTTCCTAAACTTTTCTTAGTTGCAGCACCTTTTTTTAAAATTTGTAAGTTTTTTCACGGCGTCCTAACCTGAGTAAAAGTATGACAGTTTCTTATGTTAAAGATAAAGAAAAAAAAATTTAAACTCATTTATCTTCAAATATTTCACAGCGCCACTGTGAAGAGGTCACGGCTCCCCCCGGGTTCCGCGGCGCACAGTTTGGGAGTCACTGTCCTATGCCATGATATCAAACTATGCAACATCTTCTCTCTCTCTCTGCTTTTTCTCCAACTTTCTCCCATTTTCTTCTTCTCATGACATTGCCAAAGAATGTAGATTGTCACATTCTGTTCATTGTTGATACAATATGTTACATTGTTTTAATTTAATTGAGTTGTTAAGCTAACGCAGCAAATGATTTTAAAATAAAAATATAAATTTGATAGGAAAACAATTTAGTGTGATGTTTTGACAGGCTGTAATGTGGTCAGTGTTGGTTAGATGTAAATTATCTTTAACAGGTTAAGACGATGAATTCATGCTCCGTTTTGAGTCCTAACTTCTTCTTGAACATCATGAATGCTTATTGAAGCTAACGTGCACAGATTATAAGAAGAGAGATGAGATGTATTAGGAGAAATACTGGAAAAATAAAAGGAACAAATTAAGAAATTAGAAAATGACTAGGACTGAAACAAAGTCATACAGTTATTTAAAGGACAAAGGTAAGATTGTTTGGCCATCTTACGTGAACGCCCTGGTACTGACTTCCACGCTGAATAAATACAGTGAACACAGAGCAAGGGGAAGACCATGAAAGAGATGGAAGAACAGCATCAAGAACAACTTTAAAGAAATGAAGATGTACTTATGCAACACATTAGAATGAACAGACAGAAGATGGTTGCATCTTTCCCTCCAAGATTTAATGAGGCAACTAGAGGAAGAGATGTAGTTTTGAGTCCTGAAAAGTGCTTTCATATTACATAGCGTAACCCTTGACCTGTTAGAGTCATGGAGGTTTACTGTTTGAAGCACTAGTACACAAAACCGCTGTTTTCTCCGTCTTCTGCTTGTTGAACAAGTAAAAGAATTTAGTTCTGTCCATTTCTTGATGTTGTCATTCCATGTTCTTCTTTGCCTCCCTTTTCTTCAACTACCCTTCATGTTCCTTGAAGTGCTGTCTTTGCAGTTGAATCATATCTCACCATGTGCCTGAGTTTTGTGTTCAAATAGCTACTTCGTAAAATTCACCCCCATTCTTTCATACATTAGAATGGGTTAGATTAGAATAAATGCGCTGACATGACGGAATATACAACACCGGTGATATCGCATGTAATATATTCCAGCACGTTAGAACCTTTTAATGCTCCAAAAACATGCAGGACCGACCCTAACACAAACCCTCTGACTAGAGTGCTGCAACCTAGTCTCACGAATTTTCTTTCTCGGAATGAAAATGTAAATGAAAGACAATGCAGAGAGTTTTTGGAGCAAACAATACACCAGGACTTCCCTGTAACCTTCAGCAAAGTTGAAGAGCCTTATAAAGAACAAATGAAAAGTGACCCAGTGCATATATTGTTGGTGCTAACCAGAAAAAGGGGGGGGGGGGGGAATCCATAATGTTTACCAAAAAATTGATACCTAAAATTGGGGAAGATTGTACTACATATGTTTTTCATCACCTTCTGTGGTTTTTTTTTCCTACCTTGTGTGGTATCTTTAGAGTGTTAGTTGATTCAGCCATGTTCTTGAATCAAAGGTATTAATTCATATAACTATCCTAACTGCCAGGTACTCCAACACATCACCTACCTCTAACTAGCTAACAATGATCGCTAAAAATACATTTCAACCTTTTCTGTCGTAACAAATAATTCGTTTATTTGAGTCAATTAGCGTTTCGAACTGGAAGTTATTTCCCTTTCTCTTCTGTAGTTAAGCTTTTTATCGACACCAGTTACCCACCCTTGGATTGCCGGCTGTCATTGGACACAGAAACAAGGTCCCAGATTTATGGGCACGGTGGACAAACCGATGGTTAGAATGTCTATTAAATTGAGAATTGGGCAATTATGGGCTGTTAGATTGTTCTACTTAACCAGGGAAACATAAATCACCGGGAGTGCTAAGACATGGCGTTTGATCGTAAGGGAAGTGGAAAGCGAAAGATTAGTTTTTCTGTGAAAGTTTTGCTGCAGTTTGCACGCTTCCCTCATTGTTGCGCTCTCAATACTTTTCTGCTTTTTCTTTTGCTTCCGCTATGATTCTTTTTCTGCTCCTACTCCTCCTCTTGCTTCCACTTCTGCTCATAAAGAAACAGGTGAAAATATCGGCTTTCTCATAAATAACTGCCATGAAAATTATGGCTCGAACATTCCACCGACGACTTTACTCATAGAGTTGGATGATTTTAAACAAATCGGTTTACAATGAAGATAAAATCAGAAATGGATTTGCGAGCAAATATTGATCATAACTATGAAAACATGTCGTATATCGTTTGAACAGAACAGACCACATCACAATCTTTCGCCTAGGCACTCGTCATTCCAGACTCAGCAGACACTCACTATAATTCAGTGTAAGCCAAAAAAGCTATGTGTCATCGAGTTGAACAGACCCGAAACAACATGTCTTACAATAAAACCCTTTCCTGGCGGAGCAACACGTGGTCACATTCAGTCGACCTAAGAGACCACATCCAGTTGACCTAACAACTAAACTTTAGGGATCCGAAGAGACCACATCCAGTTGACCTAACAACTGAACTTTAGGGATCCTAAGAGACCACATCCAATTGACCTAACAACTAAACTTTAGGGATCCGAAGAGACCACATCCAGTTAACCTAACAACTGAAGTTTAGGGATCCTAAGAGACCACATCCAGTTAACCTAACAACTGAAGTTTAGGGATCCGAAGAGACCACATTCAGTTAACCTAACAACTGAAGTTTAGAGATTCTAAGAGACCACATCCAGTTGACCTAACAACTAAACTATAGGGGTCCTAAGAGACCACATCCAGTTGACCTAGCAACTGAAGTTTAGGGATTCTAAGAGACCACATCCAGTTGAAATAACAACTGAACTTTAGGGATCCTAAGAGACCAATTCCAGTTGACCTAACAACTGAACTTTAGGGATCCTAAGAGACCACATCCAGTTGACCTAACAACTAAACTTCAGCTGACATACCAGTTTATGGCCCATAGTGGATTCAGCGCATGAAGTTAAATCGTTTATGAAAAATAATTTAAAAAAAAAAATATTTCAAACTTTACACCGAGTGAGAAACAATATGGCTCTAGTGCAGGACTGTTTAACTAAGTTTATTCAGGGGCAAGTATGCGGAAAATCAGGCCCGTCACGGACAGTGGCCCAAACGCTAGCAAAGAAAGATCAATGCAATACACCGCCACTTGTTAGGCCTTGCGGGCCGGATTTGACCAACAGGCTGCTAACTGAACAGGCTTTGTCTTAGATTGTCACAAGGACATACAGACACTCTCCACTTCGTCTTGTAGATTTAATGCGAAATCACGGCATCCGGACACGGAGCCGAGTGAAAAGCGTCTTTCGGGCAACAACTTCCATCACTTTAATGAAGCGCCATTGATCGATGGACAAGTCATGTGGAAGCACTGAAGGGCTGTCTGTTATCGCTGGTTACACGATATTTCAATATTCCTTAATAGCTGTATTTCCCCAGGTTTCAGAACAGAACTACACGAACATTGAAATTATGAAGGGTATAAAGTGTCCCTTAGAAATTGGCCAAATTATGAACTTTGTTGATGATTGCAGCAAGGGGGTATAATATATAAATAATGTAATCAATATTAAAGTCTTTTGCGGGTTATTGTTCTTGGCTTCTTATTTTTGTGTGTGTGTGTGTGTGTGTGTGTGTGTGTGTGTGTGTGTGTGTGTGTGTGTGTGTGTGTGTGTGTGTGTGTGTGTGTGTGTGTGTGTGTGTGTGTGTGTGTGTGTGTGTGTGTGTGTGTGTGTGTGTGTGTGTGTGTGTGTGTGTGTGTGTGTGTGTGTGTGTGTGTGTGTGTGTGTGTGAGAGAGAGAGAGAGAGAGAGAGAGAGAGAGAGAGAGAGAGAGAGAGAGAGAGAGAGAGAGGGAGGGAGGGAGAGAGAGAGAGAGAGAGAGAGAGAGAGAGATAGAGAGGGAGGGAGGGAGAGGGAGAGAGAGAGAGAGAGAGAGAGAGAGAGAGAGATCGCTTTCCGATTTATACCGACAAACATGTTCTTGGGATAAACTTGACTTTTTTTAAGGAGTTCCCTTTTAGATCTATACAACGTTGAGTACGGTGTTGACTCAGTCGGCTAGTATTGCCTTCTAAATGGACTGCACGAAGGACATTCTTGCAAAACGTGTTCTGCATGTAGTTTTCACACACGAGCACAGTGGTAAACTATTTAGACGAAGCTCATATGCATATGCTTATCAGGTTTGTTATGTCCTGTCTTGAGGAGTTGAATAATGACCTGCCCATGCTGGTCAAGTGGTGGTCATCTCTGGTCAGATTTTATTAACTTCGGATAGACTGGATGGCCCTTTCTTCTCATAGTGTATCACTGCAATCCCTTCCTGTTTAAATTCTGGCCCCTTTCTTAGCAACTTTATCCGCGGTTTCATTTCCTGGAGCGGGATGGCACCCATTGGTGTATAGTAGGCTTTTGGGCAGCCATCTTGTCAAGTTCAGGTCTCAGGTGAGGGAGTTTACAGCTCTTGGGAGCTTGGAGCACAGATAGCGCATCTGTAAAGATGTTCCCTTGGTGGTGGCGACCAGAACGGAGTTCCTAGCTGAAAAATTACATTTCAACCTCCCGCTTCCTGTGTTAAGATTTTATGGATTCACATTGGTTCTCAAATTTTCATATAAAGAACCAATTTTACGCTGATAGCGTACTGGAAACATGATGCTAGAAGCAAAATTGTTCTCAGTCCAGTCGGTACTTGGTGGCTGATGCGGTGCCCACCATGCCAAGACTGGTATTCATATGGTGACTATCATATATTGAGCTGAAAACGGGACATCACAAACAAGTAAGTTTAACCACAACCACCCCAACCCTCGTTTTTGTTTACCTAGTTCAACGGGGTGAACGGGGACTGTAAAACCCCAACCAATGTCGCCAAGAAATAACGAAACAATGTGCTCTGTTACTGCACTAAAAATTCTACAATGAAAAATTTTCATAAACACATTTTAGGCATTAAAAATAACTAAAACTATCAAATCTAATAGGGTCTACAATAAGTGTATGTTCTATTCTCGATTTAATTACAAGATTTTCATCAAACGGGACATTGACGTTTTTAGGGTGGGGGGGGGGGGGGGGGGGGTACCGACGGGATACAAACACACGCATGCATACACACGTTCGCACATACACAAGTACGCACATACACACGTACGCACATACACAAGTACGCACATACACACGTACGCACATAACACACACAAAACGGGACTGTCCCAGTGAAATTTCACGTATGGTCAGCGAAAGTACTCATCATCATCATCAAAAAAGGCAACCGTCTCTTTGAATTGTTTGTTATAAGTTGTCTTCTAGCCTCAACTCTTTCAACAAAAATGTTTGTTAATTATTTTTTTTTCAATTCCACAATAATACTTGTACTAGTACAACAATGAAGGGGGTAAAAATAACATTTCTAGCTGTCATAGCTTGTTATCTTTTATTGAACATTTTATGTTCATTATTGCAAACGGGAAATCCCGAGCAGTCTATTTGTACAACTGTCGTCTGCAAAGACATGATATTAAATCTGTCACAGTGCACATATATAAACATGGCTCTACTTTATAACCCTAAAAAATAAAAACAAAAACAAACACATTTTGTCCAATTTGTGCATGCCCACAACACACACACACATACATAGATAGATACATAGATACATACATGCATGCACACACACTTACATATTATATACATACACACAGAGACTCACTCATACGCACATGGACACACACACACACATACACGCGCGCCTACAAACACACACATAATACATATGTAGATACATACAATATACTAGTATAGGTTTATAAATTTCACATGTTTTCTCCCGTTTGGGTTCCGGGGCCAGAAACAATAATTGACCCACTGTCTCGGAGCGCATTTGCCCCTCTAGCAAAGAACAACCAACTGTACACGAAATAAACCAGTAAAACGGGTGCACACGTAAAACTCAGGCCCTAGCAAAAAAGCCCAAGCCCAAACGGACGGCCAACCAAGACTTTTCAGTGCAGCTTACATCAGGTAAATAAAGAAGAAGAATTTCAGTTGTTTAAAGCTGTTATATTGCTTACATAAAATAAAATTGCCGACGTCTTGTAATAACAGTAAAGATGATGATATCATTACGATTTACGTTTCCACGTAATTTTTACATGCCTAGGACTTTGCCTTGTGTTCAGCGTATCGGCACGGTCACTAACACCCGTTGCTACGCTGAAGAAAGCCGAAGACAGTTTCTTCCGAAAGCAACACCTGAAGACGTCTGCAAAACTTTGGCGAAACCTTCGGTTCATGAAACAGTAAGTGATTGGGTGTATGCAGGAGGACAAGTACGACAGAAGTAGGATTATTGTTTTCAGTAATGGCGTTATATTTTCTCGGGCACTGACGTAATTTAAAACGGTCCACGAATTCAAGACGAACAAGGGAGTCCAGCAAATGAAATATTCCAAAACGACAACACAAAGCATCTTGACAACCCTCTTCTTGTTGGCTAAGACTCGGCAGTAGTAGGCCGGACGTAAGACTTCCAGTTGGCATTTGCCGCTAGATGATTCCGTTGAGATGCTTCTAGCGATTTGCCGCCTTGGGAGCAAGGGTGACTTGTTCTGAGGTGACGTGTAGCCATTTTGTTTCTCTACGACGTCTTTTCGAGATTCTGGGTCTAAGGAAGGGAATAGAAATATAGTAGTTAGTAAATATATACCAGGTAATATTCTTCTTCTTTGCGTTCACCAGCTGTAAACTCTGGTGGAAAGTTCTGGTTGTTCGTCCACTTCTGGACTGCAGTCCTGTTCCAGAACCTGAGTATTGTGTGCATCCGTTTGACAGATCTGACACATTTGAGTGTAGACTGTTGGTTCCTTGCCTCCCAGGCAGATGCACTCCGACTTCGAAGGAAGATCCCAATTAGTCGACTCTTACGATATGCTTTTGGGCAGGCAGTGGGTCTATTCTTGTTTTCCCTATAATAGGGACCCGAAACCCACACGGGGGATGCTAGGTAATGTCTTGGGAAGTAAAGACGGCTCACGTTTGACTGCAGCATAACCACCTGTTTCCGACTGTTTTTTAACAAGAAGAGCCTAGCATCTTAGTCTCGATATGCTATTAATGAAATAATTAATTAAATAATTAATAATTGACATCATGGCAAACGGGACATTCCCACATGTGCTCCATCCTCTTCTTCAACAGCCAATGAAGAGTCAACATGCTAATACTACCAGTTGCAATCTGATTAAAATTCTGCCTATGTTTCACCCTGAATGTTGAGTATCTCCCAGAACTTGTACTCTATGTTGAATTAGTCTTTCAGTTTATGGATTCTCTGTCTTAAGGTTTTTGAGGCTTTGAATAACGGATCAACATCATGGCACACCGTAACCCATAAGTACTCCGTCCTTCTTCTAACTCAAGTCTGAGTCCGAACAAGCTCAGCACAGTGCACAGGCCCTGTAGCACCGGCGAGGATCCTGTAATACTTTGGGTAGATTTTCAACTCTAAATGTTGCATGGACACCGCCGCCAGGCTACTCTTTTCGATTTCCAACTGCCAATGGAATTTGTTTTTACGTGTGTAACAACAATGCACGGTACAATTAATGACAACGGGGAAAGACTGAGCGACCTCTGCACGGCGAATAGACTTGTTATAGGAGAAACACTATTTCCTCACAAGAATATACACAAGCTTGCATGGATATCCCCAAACAGAAGAGATGTAAACCAGATCGACCATTTCATGGTAAACAGAAAATGGCGTGGGCCCCTACTCGATGTGCGTGTCAAAAGGGGAGCAGATGTGGGAAGCGATCATCACCTTGTAGTCGCTCTACTACGACTTAAACTCAAAAAAGTTTACACGCAAGTTAAGACACAGACAGCACGTTACAATGTTAACCTTTTAAGAGAAAAAGACATTGCCAATAAATTTATAGTAGAACTCAAGAATAGATTTCAAACCCTATCAAGTGACCCATAAACTCCAACTACAATCAGCATTGAAGACAGATGGAATCAGATCAAAGAAACATACAAATCAACTAGCAATAACATATTAGGAACCAGGAAACAACACCACAAAGAATGGATAAGTAGTCAAACCATGGACTATATTGCCAAGCGAAAAAGAATAAAGAGCCTCATAAATCAAACTAAATCAGAACGTCAGAAAGACACACTAATGTTAGAATATAGCGAACTAAATAAAATGACCAAGAAAAATGCCAGAGCTAACAAGAGAAGATTTATGGAAAATCTTGCAGAAACAGCAGAAAATGCTGCTAAAGCACATGATTTACAAACCCTACACAAAATTACCCAGCAAATTTGCGGAAACAGAAACAATTATCACAGCATACCCATCAGAGATAACCAAGGCAGACTGCTCACCACAGAACAAAAACAAGACATGCAGTGGACTAAACACTTCTCCGACCTCTTGAACAGACCTGATCCTGAAGATCCCCCAGATATTCAACCAGCCTCTCAGGACATTGACATTTTTACTGAATTATCAAGCAAACAAGAAATCATTAAAGCTATCCACTTTAAAGAACAACAAAGCACCAGGCAAAGACAAACTGCCAGCAGAACTTCTCAAAGTAGATCCCAACACAACAGCTAGCATTCTAGAACCATTGTTCAAGGATATTTGGGAAAAAGAAGTGTTGCCTGATGACTGGACTGAAGGAACAATAGTCAAAATCCCCAAAAAAGGAAACTTAACAGACTGCAATAATTGGAGGGGAATTACTCTACTCTCAGTACTAAGCAAAATATTTGGTAAAATCATCATAATGCGGCTTAAAAAAGGAGTAGATAAATGCCTACGAGTGGAACAAGCAGGATTCAGAAAGGGCAGAGGAACAACTGAGCACATCTTCGCCATACGTAACATTTTAGAACAATGCAACGAATGGCAGAGAAGTATATATATTAATTTTGTGGACTTTGAGAAAGCTTTTGACAGCCTCCATGGAGACGGTCTGTGGAAAATTTTACGACATTATGGAATTCCAGAAAAAATAGTCAACATAATTGCTCTCTTCTATAAAGACTTTTCCTGCAGTATAAAAACAATACATCTTTCCCAGTAAAGATGGGTGTAAGACAGGAATGTGTTATGTCATCTCTCCTCTTCAACCTTGTGATTGATTGGATACTAAAGAACACAGTAGACAGGACATTAAGAGGCATACGATGGACTCCATTCACCATGCTTGAGGACCTTGATTTTGCAGATGATATAGCACTCCTATCACATAAACATGAACATATACAAGAGAAAAGTAACAGACTAAACTGCACAGCAGAAATGGTGGGACTGAGAATAAATACAAAGAAAACTAAGATCATGACAAACAGTCCAAACCAACAACCAGTGACCATAAGTAACCAATCACTTGAAAATGTAGAACATTTCACATATCTTGATAGTGTGGTGTCCCTACTGGGAGGGACAGAAGAAGACATACAGTCACGTCTGAACAAAGCTAGAGCTGCTTTTGGAAGGATGAGGCAAATCTGGAAATCCAACAATTACTGCAGAGGAACGAAACTCCGACTCTACAAGAGCATCATTTTGCCAGTTCTTCTTCATGGAGCGGAATGCTGGAGAATGACCAAAAAGGATGCACACAAGCTGTCCACCTTCCACCACACATGTCTACGTAGAATTATCAAAATTTTCTGGCCAATCTCAAACACTAAACTACTTCAAGCCACAAACCAAGAAACTTTAGACAGTATGATTACCAAGAGAAGATGGAAATGGCTTGGCCACGTTATAAGAATGACTTCTGATATACCTGCCAATACAGCTCTCACATGGACACCAGAGGGAAAGAGAAAACAGGGGCGCCCAAAAACAACATGGAGACGAACGATGGAAAGTGACCTCAGTGCGGCATCTTTGACATGGAAAACTGCACTGAAGATTGCACAGGACAGGAAAGCATGGAAAGTCCTCTCTGAAGCCTCATGTGCCACTAGGCATAACGAGAACTTATGATGATGATGAACAACAATGCACACGGGCGTCTGATCTCACTACCCAGAGACCAGAGGGAATTACTAGAAGTCCAAGTCCATGTGAAAAATCCCAGCCCTTACCGGGGATTAAACCCAGAACCTCTAGCAATCGAGGCGGACACCATGCCTCGAGACCACGCAGCCCATGGATTCTCTGTCTGTTCTATTGAACTGCCTATTTGATATTTGCGACCGTTAACCACGTCCGCTTTATCTTAAGTAGCTCACCTCCCAGAAGAGAGGGGCAGGGGAAAAGGGGCGAGGGTTCAAAAAGACCCAGTTTAAATGCTTTCAAAATGTTTTCCTAGTTAGAGCATAAGATGACGGATAATCCCCTCTTGTAAAATATCTTCCTCGCGAAAAAATTGCTACAGATTGCTTCAGTTTTCTTCACATCTGGGCTAGGTAATAATTACTCATTGATTTATATTTTTAACGGAATGAGAAAAGTATTTAATCTGTTTTCGTTCGAAAAGAGTCGCGCAAAATTACATCTTCCGGCTCTTAAAAATGATAATGCAGGAAAAACTACCAGCTTTCAACTCTAGACAGATGCAGGATAAAGGTAGAATTTATTCGATAAACTGTCGCTTTTTAGATAAATTTTCACGCTGAATGTTTCATTAAAAATAATAGCCTTGTTTTCGTTGCCGCTTGTTATATGTTTTTTTTTTAAAATCCAAATTTCTTTCTTAGTTGGTTCTCAGTCTCGTGCCTTTTGCCACCGCCTTCTCTAAGATATTTAATACAAATAAAAGTTTGTCAGTTCGTTCTATACCTTCGGTCTTTTATTTCTATCTCTGTCACAGCTTTTTGCTTCCACCCTCTCCCGCTTTCTGTCTTCTCCAGACTTCCGATCAATATGGCGTATATCCCGCCTTCATGTTTTTAGTCAAGGCAAGTTTTTGTTCCTGATGATAACTAGCTGTCGCATTTTTAACCATATGTAGACTGAAAGAATATAGTTCCGTCGCCCAGCTACTGACTGGGTGGAATTGCTGCTTCCAATGACAATGAACTGCATTTCTAGGCTGTTTGTTTGGGACTTCTGGCGGCTGTCTTATACATCTGATGCTTGTTTATGCTAAAGCCTTTGCCTATACTGCAGCCTTGGTCAAATTTTTTTTTTCACAAGAGACAGTGATGGACCTTCTGTGTGGACTTCGTTGGCATAGGAACGGACCAACTATGGGGCTACCCGTTTGCGAACTCTCATCTTTGTTAGTTAGAGGGATTAGCACATGATCTGTTTGAAAATGTTGATTATTAATATATTTTTATCTACGAAACACGCTAGTTTCGTGTCCCCCCCCCCCCCAAAAAAAAAGTTGTTGAATGTGATGATTACATTCCATTTGTTTGAAGCAGAACATAACTTGTAGTTTGTGCACGTGGTCTGGCTATGCGCTGCCTATGTAGTTAGATTCTGTTGATGTGTAATTCATTATTCACATATTCATCGCCTGAGCCATGAGTAATATTTCATACTTCCTGCACCAGACGAACCCTTATGTTTATTTTTCCTGTTTTTGCAGTTCAGCGGGGAACTACATATTATCCTAACCACATTTCTTTTCTCGTCTCACTCCTCGTTTTATCGATTTTCTTTTCCTGCTAGCTCATTTCGCCATATGCCTCCTCCTCTTCCACCTTTTATCTTCTGCTTAATACTTTTCTTTTTCGCATCGTCTAACTCCTAAACCTCTCTCCTTCTACTGCCTGCATTCACTTTTGCCCCTCCTAAAAACATCAAAGAATGTATGCATTTAATATCATCCTTATCGTCATCATCATCATCATCATCATCATGTACCAAGTCATTTACAGAACTTATCACGGTGCACTTTCCTACCAAAGGTATGCCTTACATCCTGTGACCATCTTCATGCAGGTCGGCCCCTGCCCCTCTATTCTAGCACCAAGCCTTCTTTTACTATTTTCTTCACTTAGCCGTGGCGCTAAATATGGTCATTTTTTAAAAAGTTTTCGAGAGAAGATGCTGTTTACTTGCCAATCTTCCTTGATATGCGAATCTTTCAGAATATTTCTTCTTGGTTCTTTGTATTGTAGGAATCGTTAAAAAGCATTTCAGCTCAAACGCTCCCATTTTCTTCCTTAAAGACTGCAACATAGTTCACAACTCATTTCCGTGTGCTGCTACAGGGAAGATGCAAGCTCTTCAAATTTAGACTCTGATTTTCTCGATGGTGTTTAACCATAGAAATTTGATGTTGTTCAATCTTTGTATTGCTTTGAGTTCTTAATTTATAACGTACCCCAAACACGAAATCCCCGTGGGAAATCCACAGCTGACCTGACAGTCCATTATTTCAGGGGGTGCAAGTGTACTGTTGTGTGGTGCTTTTTTTGAGTGTTCATCTAGTGTCTTCTAATCCTAATCCTAATCCTAACCCTAACCCTAACCCTAAACCTAACCGTAACCCTAAACTTGGCTGTAGAGAAATCGCGAAAAACTACAACTTGAATACCCTAGAATTTATTGGGAATGTCTCCCGTGACGTTGTCGTGACGTCAAGGGTAAGTTATAAATTAAGTACCTTGCTTTGACCTTCCTCTTTTTTGTTTCTGTGGAACGGTCTCCACTGCTGCTTAAAATGGAACCTAGATATTCAAAGCGTGTGACATTTTCAGATTCTTCAACATTTATTGGTAATTTTGGGTGACAGTTTTGTCTGTGGACATTATTTAGGATCCGAAAACATTAATCAATTCTCAAGGTTATGAAAAAATAAACTATTCAAAGATTAACATTGACCACAATCTATTTTGGTATTCCAAGGATGAAGTGGAAACAAGTTTACCTACATAATGATTGTAACAGCTTTAAAACAGCCCCTCCATTCACACGGGTCGGACAGGAGTATTACATTAGAATTTACGCTCACTTGGAAGGGATTATATGTCTGTCAAAAGATAACCATTTTGAGAAATCTTCTCTCACTACTGTTGCGTTTACATAATTTATCATCGTCAATTTTTATTAACATCATCACCACCACTGGCGCTGACCTCTCCCCACCACAACAATCATCAGCTGTGCACCTCCTTTCCCACCACCTCTTCTTCTTCTTGCTCTCCTCTACATAACAATAACGACAACTACTATTGTTACGATCACCACAACCTACGCTATTGTTACCACCACATCCACCATCAGCACTAGCAATACTATTAATTCGACTGCTGCTGCTACTGCTGCTGCTACTACAGCTGCTACTACTGCTGCTGCTGCTACTACTGCTGCTGCTACTACTACTGCTGCTGCTACTGCTACTACTGCTGCTACTGCTACTACTGCTGCTACTGCTGCTACTACTACTACTGCTGCTGCTACTACTACTACTACTACTACTACTACTGCTGCTACTACTACTACTGCTGCTGCTACTACTGCTACTGCTACTACTGCTGCTGCTGCTACTGCTACTACTACTACTACTACTACTGCTGCTACTGCTGCTGCTACTGCTACTGCTGCTGCTACTGCTGCTACTACTACTACTACTACTACTACTACTACTACTACTGCTGCTGCTGCTGCTACTACTGCTGCTACTGCTGCTGCTACTGCTGCTGCTGCTACTGCTGCTGCTGCTGCTACTGCTACTGCTGCTGCTACTGCTGCTGCTACTGCTACTACTGCTGCTACTGCTGCTGCTACTGCTACTGCTGCTGCTGCTACTACTACTACTACTACTACTGCTGCTGCGGCTACTGCTACTACTACTACTACTACTACAACTACTACAACTACTACTACTACTACTACTACTACTACTACTACTACTACTACTACTACTACTACTACTACTACTACTACTACTACTACTACTACTACTACTACTACTTCATCTTCCTCTCCTTCTCCTTCTTTTTCTATTACTACTATTAACACCACCACCAACAGCACTAATTCTACTACTTCTAATACTACTACTACTATTACTACTGCTGCTACTAATACTACTACTTCTTCTCCTAGTACTTCTATTACCACGACTAACACTACTGCTATCACCACCACTACCATCACTATTGCTTCTTATATTACCAGTATTAACACTACCACCAATAGAACTTCTATTACTACTTCGATTGCTACTACAGCGAGGACCGCTTAAGGCGATCTCAGATGTGGCGAATTTCTGTTGTGAAGAACATTTTCTTGGCCCTAGGCAAATTTTGTTTGCTTGAATTCTTATCTGGAAAAGAGAAATTTCTGACCAGAAGAACCACTTCTTCAGTCCCCAGATCTGCACTGTACTGACACCAGATCCACAGCGACCATCAAAACCACCAGCACTGCATCATATTCTTCATCCCTGTGTAACACGACAACAATAAGAGAGGGAAGAAATAAAGTGACAGGTAAAAAAATATTAGGAAGAATGATTAAGTTAGAGAGTAAGACAGATAAAGCGAGTGAGCGACAGAGAGTAAGAAAGATGGACAGAATAGCAGCAGCATAAAAGCAGGCTACCTGATAATGGACTTGCACCGCTGGGTTCAGAACCGGCCGTTAGGCTGACCTCTGACCACAAGTCTTTGGAGATTCGGCCGTAGGAATAACCCATGAGAAACAAGGGCAAGACGAGGAGGACGATGTCCAGGAGGATCGTGTACAGGCACTCCATCACATGGATGGGCCAGATCTCCCTGAAAGAAACAGTGAATTTATCAAATACATCCGTGTAATAAAACCAGTTGATAAGACAAGTCGTTTTATATGGCTCTTAAACTTGGAGCACAGCTTTGATGAAGCCTTTTTACATGTTTTCGAAAACAGTCTTACGAGGAATCTTTGGACCCATCAAAGATGCAAACAGCGGGGAATGGAAGCAACAACGAAATTCATAATCTGTTTAAATCACCATTGATCACAGGCATCATGAGGGCTAATAGACTGTAATGGTTGGGACATATTGAAAGAATGTCAGATGACAGAGAAGAAATTGAATACACAAGGGAGAGGAATGGTCGTAGACCACGAGGCAGACCAAGAAGACGATGGAGAGATAATCTTCAGACAGACCTGCAAACACTTGATGTTACTAACTGGAAAGAGAAGGCCACCCAGAGAGATGAATGAAGGCGAGTGATATCTGCAGCAATGAACGCCAAGGGCTCGGAATGCTGAAGAAGAAGAAGATGAACATCCATGTAATGTTTCTCTCACTGCACTAAGAGACTGGACGTTGTCTAGCATTCACTGAGTAGACGAGACAGATTTTCACTTCAGTCAACTTCTGCAACTCCTCCACACAACAGTCAGCACCAGTTGATTACAGTTTCACTTTTCACACATCCAGGTTCCACCTCTCCGCACTTCGGGTCATACGGTTAAACCTTCAACGCCCATCGTCGATATGCACACGATCACAGTAGCAATATATCAGCATCAACTTTTCTCTCAGCCTTTATTCAGCGCAGATTTCTATACAGATGATCAGCTTTCTATACAGATGATCAGCTTTCTATACAGATGATCAGCTTTCTATACAGATGACCGGCTTTCTATACAGATGATGAGCTTTCTATACAGATGATGAGCTTTCTATACAGATGAACAGCTTTCTATACAGATGAACAGCTTTCTATTCAGATGATGAGCTTTCTATACAGATGATGAGCTTTCTTTACTGATGATGAGCTTTCTACAAAGATGATCAGCTTTCTATACAGATGATCGGCTTTCTATACAGATGATAAGCTTTCTATACAGATGATGAGCTTTCTATACAGATGATGAGCTTTCTATACAGATGATGAGCTTTCTATACAGATGATGAGCTTTCTATACAGATGATGAGCTTTCTATACAGATGATCAGCTTTCTATACAGATGAACAGCTTTCTATACAGATGATGAGCTTTCTATACAGATGATGAGCTTTCTACAAAGATGATCAGCTTTCTATACAGATGATCGGCTTTCTGTACAGATGATCAGCTTTCTATACAGATGATGAGCTTTCTATACAGATGATTAGCTTTCTATACAGATGATCAGCTTTCTACAAAGATGATCAGCTTTCTATACAGATGAACAGATTTCTATACAGATGATCAGCTTTCTATACTGATGATCAGCTTTCTATACAGATGTTTAGCTGTCACACCCACAAGCTATGTGGCCCTGTCGCAGAATGAATCATTATTTGGCTATTTTCGGCTATTCCCACCAGTTATCCCGTGTTCCCAAGTTCACTCACACATTCACGAGTTGTCAGTCTCTCCATGTTGACTTCATATCTTACAACATATGGATTTCCTGACTCTAACAACCAGTCAAAACTCTTACTTTCGCCTCACTGCATACACACATAACAGTGATCTTTGCAGGTATAACTCAAACTAAATCACACACGCACGCAATAGATTATTCGTCATTTTCTAAATATGCAGATCACAACATAACCCCGATGGGGCACAGTCGAAAAGCATTCCAAATGAGATCCACAGCTCACAGTGTCGCCTTATGCACTCAACTCAGAAATGTGGTTTTAGCCTACTTACAACGGCTTACTACTTTTCATAAACATAAACGTGCCAAGACTAAAAACAGGAAGCCGTCCTTTCCGTCGTATTTATACACATGCACGCAAGAAAGCTTCGAGTATGACACAGTAAAGAAGCCACTGAAGTACACGTTCATACTAAGGTCATGTAAGCGATAAACTAAGCAATCGGTTATTAACAGGCAATCAATCAGTAGGCCACTTAAACAATCAATCATATGATCGGCTATTCCATATACCTTTCTACTTTACAGTAAAAGCCCGTCATGCTATCTTCAATCATCGGGCCCTTTACATAACGGTGCTCTAGTCATTGCATGCCTGAAAATATCTTTTGCTCGATTAGATTCTCTAACTCTGAGTGCTTTCATAGCTAATGCTTCTTCAGTATCTTGTATCCACCTTCGATTAGGTCGGACTACCCATCGTTTCCCAGAAACTGTGCTCTCCATCATCCACCTTGTCAGGCTACCATGACGTTTAAGATGGCCAATACTTCAGCATTCGAGACATACACAAGTTGGCGGTGTGGTAGGAAACTTTTCGCACCGGCTGCCACCTGACCTTTCAACGCCACTGGTTACTTACACTGTACACTGGCTCACCTGCAAGCGTAGGCGCCGTTGTTTAGCTCCAGAAGTTTGTTGAACACGGCAATAGGTACCATCAGAGTCGCGAAGACGAGCCAGATGGCCAGGATCACTTTGTAGGAATGGCTCAGCGTTTGCCACCTGCGAGACTTCAACGGCTGGCAGATGGCGTAAAATCTCTCGATGGAAATGGCTACCAAAGTGGCGCAGCTGACTCCAACGGACACCGCTGGAAAAAAAAAAAAACAACAACGAGATGTAATCAGGGTTAGAAATCAGTTGCTACTTGATGAGGTGTTTTAGGGAGCGCCAGACCTGGGTGCTCAGTCATCTTGACAACCCCCACCCCCCTTTTTTTTTCCGCCCCTTTCGCCCAACTTTTTTGGGTAAGGCGTTTACTAGATTACCTTTTTTGGGGATAATGTTCTATAGCTTTCATATATATATATATATATATATATATATATATATATATATATATATATATACATACACGCACACACACGCGCGCGCGCGCGGGGGAATCACGTTCTGCAAACAGACTGAATAAAGTCTGGAAGGGGACGAACAACTAGAACTTTCTGCAGCAGTTTACAGCCGGTGAACACGAAGAAGTAGAGGGAGAAGAAGAAGAAGAAGAAGAAGAAGAAGAAGAAGAAGAAGAAGAAGAAGAAGAAGAAGAAGAAGAAGAAGAATATAGAAGCAATGGATTCTGTCATTATGGAGCAGTGGCGAGAAGTTGATCGCTACCTTGAGCATCTCAAAAAATGTACAGTTATTGCTTGTGACAATACAACGATACTCTTCGATGCGGGGGGGGGGGGGGGGGATGCGTGGTCGAGGCACGGTGTCCGCCTCGAGTGCTAGAGGTTTCCGGTTCAATCGGCGACAGGGGCTGGGATTTTTTTCACGTGGACTTGAACTTCTAGTAATCACCCCTGGTCTCTGGGTAATGAGATTGGACGCATTGTCGCACACGGGAAAAATGAATTCCCAGTTGGAATTCGAAAAGTGTAGCCTAACTGCACTGCCCGGGTAAAATTTGGAGTTAAAAATCTACCCAAAGTATTTCAGGATCCTCGCCGGTGCTACAGAGCCCGTGCACTGTGCTGAATTTCTTCAGACACAGACTTAAGTTAAAAGAAGAACGGAGCACTTATGTGTTACTACACGTGTGCCATGATGTTGATCCGTTGTTCAAACCTCAAACCTCTTCGATGCAGTTAGGAAGATTATCAAACGTCACATTTTAGCCAAGCGATAGGGAAGGAATCACACCGAACACTTCAATTAAAATATTTATCCCCCCTCCCCCCTCAAATGCCAATTGCTGCCTTTGGTTCTTTTCTGCTAAGCGACCCCATCACGCAAGATTTAGGGAAATCCCATGGGGTGGGGAAGGGGGGGGGGGGGCTTAGGGTTAGAGATGTTGTCAAATGAATAGCGACTACTAATCCTAACCCCCTATACTATGGGATTTCACTAAATCTTGCGTGATTTGAAAAGAAACCCTGCTTTTATTATATCACTTTTGCGGTGCAGGCAAAACGGCAGTGGGGTATTTTAGCCTGAGGATTAAGGACAGCATGGGTAGTGCTGTCGCCACGGACTGTGCAGATGAGAATTTTATTTTTGCCCCCGACATAAAAATATCCACAACCTTATCAAGGATTCGAACAATATTTATCATTAGGTTCAAAAAGGGTTAATCGATGTCGGGAGAAATCCCATTAGATCACTCTGTTTAACTACTACCACATGAAACTGTCGCAAATCTAGCAAATCTAGCGATGCGAAAATCCAGCTATCGTATTATCGTCTGCAGCTGTAACAGCTGTGCACTTATTGGGGTGATCAAGTCAACGCTTCCTTCGCGGCGCAGCTCCTTAATGACAGACACTATCAGGGGGAAATGAATGATAGGGTCAAATGTAGAGAGGGCCCTGCCGGCACAATAATGGCTACCGATGTACGGTAATGATGTGGTTAAAGGGACGGGCTGGGGTGATGACGACAAGCAGATATGGCGGTTAATTGCCTCAAAGTGAGGGCAAAAGGAGGCTCAATCTAACTCTCTAAAGACTTGGTTTTTTTTCTCCATATTTGGCTGAAATCGTTTCTGGCTATCTTACACACGCACACACACCCACATTCGCGCACAAACACACATCCACCATGCGTGCATGTAACGGCTGTAATTGTCGCTTACATCTTCCGCTGAATTGTCGCTTACATCTTCCGCTGTAAGAGAAAAATCGATTATTCTACTAATTATTAATTACTGATTATTATTTATTACAAAAATGCCACTTGATTCACGTCTCAAACATAACTAAAAAGAACGCTTACTGCATGCTTGCACCACTCATGTAAAAACCTATAACTATTCAAGCTACCAGTTACTAGTACTACAATAAAAAGACGCGAGCGCATACTCACAACACCAAATGGACGTACAGCCAGGACTTTCCGCCGGATCTTATAGCCGGAGAACACGGAAGAAGAAAGAGAAGATCATGCACTTCTGTTAAATTATAAAAAAATTAAAATAAAATGTAATTAAATGTCCTTTTTAGTTTGGGGCCGCGTTAGCGCAGTCGATAGGAGACTCGCTTTCGTATCCAGCTGCGACTCGCTACAGCCCACGGCTGGTGTTCACCTAGCCTCTATGTAAAGGGTACCAGAGTTAAAACTCTGGGGTAAATGGAGGAACATCGCTGTAGCTACGGAGCTGCGTGCGGGCGGCGACACAGGCAAACAGTTTCTTATCAGCTGTCCCTACTGGTGACAGAGCACTAATGGTTTATAACCGTGTGCAATGACGTTTGTTCACATCTTCCGACTTGACCTTTAGATATCAATCATCCACCTCTCTCTCTCTCTCTCTCTCTCTCTCTCTCTCTCTCTCTCTCTCTCTCTCTCTCTCTCTCTCTCTCTCTCTCCTGATTCTGTTGCTTTATTTATATGACGATCTTTAACTAAGTTTACTCTGGGAGTCAACATTTCGAACAATGAGAATCGTCACGGCCCGAAATCCTAGCCCAAGCAACATCATCAGTACAGTACACTGTCAATGATCCTTGGGCCACTTGCTGGACCTCCGCAGGCCAGACGTGGCCCGCGGGCCGCCAGTTGAATAAACCTGACATATATTTTTAATTTCCTAGAATTTCTAGGTCGGCTCTGTGGCTATGTCGATGCGAACACTTCGTAATGCCGGGGTGCCGGGTTCGATCCCAGCTGCGGGCCATGCGCCTTGCGTTGGTTTCGACAGTGGTATCAGGGGGCCGACCGCAAACTACTGGACTTAAATTTGCCTAGAGAAAAAACACAACAGCCAGGGGCTGCTGGGGTTGGTTCTGCAACGTCCTGTAAACTAACCTTTTAAAATTTCTTAAAATTGTGTATCGTTTCCTTCGGGATCTCATATTTACTCTACAAAATAAAAAATAATAACGAACTCGAACGAAGCTTATTATTTTGTGCCTTCTATGTTCTGTTAATTAGTCTCTTTTGTTCCAGCATTCCCCCCCCCCCCTCACATTTTTGCACTATTTCTGCTTTTCTTCAATAATTATTATTAAAAAAAAAAAAAACTTATTAGTTCTATTAACGTTTAATTTGACATCTATCTCCCCCCTTTCGTTTATGTTTTACTCTCCTGGAAAACCGGTGCATTTCCCAGTGTTCTTTTGCACTCTGGTTTCCTTTCATTCTGCAATCCATTGGTAAATTCACTATTATCATGTATCTTTCTGACTGGAGTGGGTTCTTTTCTGTTCGCTATCTTTTAGTTGATTACAGTGTAGTAGTTATCACAAAAAGACAAATTATAAATACAATCTTTATACCGACATTAGGTTATCAATGTCAGACTTGGACATTAACAAAAGAACACGAGAGAAGACTAACCACCTGTGAAATGAGATGTTTGAGAATGGCTGCGAATAAAACCAGAAGAGATCGAGTGAGAAACGATGTGATTACAAGAACTATTGGAACCATACCCATCGTTAAATTTATTGAGAAGCAAAGAATGAAATGGTTTGGTCACCTAATGAGAATGGAACCAACGATGCCAGCATCAAGAGCATACAACATGAAAATCGAAACACCAAGAGGCAGGGGAAGACCAAGAAGAAGATGGATTGAAGGAGTCACGGACAACTTGAGACTTCATAACATCACGGCATATGAAGCGACTGAGCGCGCCCTGGCTCGGTTGCCGATCATCTGATAGACTGCGACGCCTAGCGGCACAAGCCGATTTTGACAAAAGAAGAAGAAGAAGAGTTATCACGTCCGCCTAACACGCGGGAGGTCTTAGGTTCAAGTCCTTGCTGAAAATAATATGAATGTATAGATATTACTTAAAAAATGACATAGAGAGAAATAAAGGGGTGGGGGAGGGTGTGGGGGTGGGGGGGGGTGCTGAGCGCTTTTACAAATGTTATAGCGGAGGATTGGGGAAGCGGAGCTGAACCCCATAAACGTTTGTTTTGGGCCTAAAGTGTTTGAGCCCACACATTTTGCAACCCCTGCTCTTTGTATTAGCCTTTGAAAATATTTAGATGTATCACTTTGTTGTTATGTAAGGTAGCTTTTTCATTCTATTGTAAAAGAAACCTCATGTGGCTTAAATTTCTTTTCTTGTGCTTGTCTATAATTATCCAATATTCACACTCAGATGCAAAAAGTGGTTTTAAATTAGAGGTTACATCGCCTCTCAGCTACTCCAGCTTTAAACCACAGGGATTTATTGCGTAAGACTCTCTCCATAAATAGAAAGGAGTGTGGCTTGTTGTGTTTCTTCTTTTTCAACTGTGATATATCTCATAATAAATGTCACCACGTATGAAGATATTCTCAATTTGCCAAATATGAACTAAAGTGAAGCAATTATTTTTTTTTTAAATCTCTCTCCCCGGCCCTAGTTAGGGAGTCGCCGTGCTGTAGCGGCTAGACGCTCGCCTGTGGGTCGGAAGGTCAGGGTTTGGATCCTGATGGCACCGTATCATTTTCTAAAAAAATGACCATGGCTCTGAGGTCGACCCAGCCTTGAATGGGTACCAGGTGGAGTCATGGAAAATAAAGGCGGCCGGCATGATACTGACCACATCACGCATCAAGTGCCGATTGGTCTATTAAGTATAGTTCTAGCCCTATATGCCCAATAAGCCGGAAGGCATGGAAGGGGTGCTTTACTTTTTAGGTCCTTGGGTCTTTATC